GCACTTGGGGCAGTTTGCAACTGAAGACCTAATGAGCTGCAACAAAATCAAGGCAGAACTCGGGTTAACAATCCCCAGGCAACGTGTGAGCCAAATTTTGAACGAAAATTTTAACCTGACATATCAAAAGAAAGTGGGCAAACTCCTCTAAACTAAACGTCATAATGATGCGCGCATGTCATTTTTGAAAAACAAAAGTTCTGGGACCCCGAATTAGAAAATTTCATTTTTAGTGATGGAAAAAAAATGAGTTTACACGGTTCAGATGTCCATCATAAATATTGGAGAGACCCGCGTCATCCACGGGCAACTTGCTACAAGCCAAACCATGGTGATGGATCGCTAATGATATGGGCTGCCTTTAGTGCTAAAGGGAGGTCTCCAATATGTTTAATATCCGGCCGGATGAATGCTCAAGCATAGATAGAATTGATAGATAGTGAACCTTTTTCATTTGCTGAGCATTTCCATGGTGATCAATAGACATTTCAGCAGGATAATGCGCCAATTCATGTTTCCCGGGCCTCAATGGACTATTTTGAGACCCACAATAAACCGTTGATTAAGTGGGCTTCAATGAGTCCGGACTTAAATCCAATTGAGGATCTGTGGGGAATCCTTGCAGCAAAAGTCTATGCCTGTACAAGGCAGAACGATACATTGAAGCAATTAAAACAAGCGATAGTTGCAAAATGAAACAGGATAGAAATAACAACACTAAAAAACTTTCCGAACTCAATGCACAGCGGGCTGCAAAAGCTTCAGGAGCATAAGTTTAACTCCATTAATTATTAAAAGAGTACATATTCCCATAAACTTGTTCCTTGGAAATTTTTTTCATACAAAATATTTTTTGCTGTTATACCCATTTTCTATGTGAAAAATGTACAATTATTTTTTTTTGTTATTAAAAAAATTGATATTGAATTTCTTTATGCCTTTTTGTTTTGTACTTATTAACAGCTACCCAAATAAAAATATAAAATAAATCAAGAAAACACGTGTTGAAAAAAAACGTCATTCAAAGCAATGCACATATAGCCATTTTACTAAGTTTGGTGCCCCCTTATGTACCCAGAGTGGGATTAGAGGAGGATTAATTGCGGGCAATTTCTGGAGCAAATCGTGTCGCGTTGTTTGGGGTTGAGCTCCTTCAAAAGGATCGACCGATTCGTATGAACTAGTCTATAATTTCCCTTACTTTTTCTGCCATGAAATGCCTTCAAAGTATTCCTTCGGAATGTGCTGGGTTCTAAGGGCTCTAGGCCGGGCCCATGAACCCGTCGATGGGCAGCTTCGACATCCCCATGGATGTCCACTGCTCACATTTCCCTCTTGGATTAATTTATGTAAACCTTCCAATTTTCCAAACTAGAAAACCTCCGGGGGCAAGCAGCAGCAGCAGCAGCAGCCCCGAAGTAATTGTGTCGATTCCTCTGGCCAAGTGAGGCTCCTCTTCCCGTCTAACGCCCATCGTCCGTTGTCGCGATTCACTTCCGCAGGAGTCCGAGTCCGAGTCCGAGTCCAGGTCCGGGTCCAGGGCCCAGTACTGCGTTCAGTTCAGTTCTGTATTAAAACAAAATAGGTATTTTCCGTACACGAATAAACTTTATGGCGCCATTGCAGCAAAATGTCGTCCTCGCCGCCGTTGGTCCTGACCTAATAAACTGGATATTACGGATTTCAAGTGAGTGCCACTGGCAGTGGCAGTGGCAGTGGCAGGGCACGAAAGAGGCACTGGCTGTGGCTGTGGCAGTGGCAGTGGCAAGAGATCTCCGGGTCCCTTGCTCTGGTCGAGTCCTCATTACAGGCGAATTCGCGTTGCCTTTCCGCTTATTAACATAATGAAGAATGAAGTGGAAGTAGAAGTGGAAGTGGAAGTGGAAGCAGAGACAAAAGTGGAAGAGGGACGAAGGACGAAGGACGAGGGACGAGAGCGCTGGGGGTCATGAGGGACAACGACAACTCGGCCAAAATGAGCATCGCGGGCAGCCAAGCAAGAACCGGGAAAATCTGTCAAATAAACCAAAGCCAGCCAACCCGAAGAGGAGCGCACTGGCTGCTCTGGCTGCTCTGGCAATATTTCTAGTCATTATGCTAATAAATTCACACAACAGCTTTGCAGGGCCCCATCTAACTCTCCCTCTGCCTCTGCCTCCAGGGTGCGGGTCCCTCCTTGGCGGAGGGCACTGGTCACAGATTTCAAGTGTCTCCATCGTTCAGGGTCTCGGGCGGGAATATATTTACTGCATAGAAGCATATATATACAGAAGCACGAGTGAATTTAGATGCTACCTGTAATCAAATGGTGTCGGTGTCTGGCCCTGCTGAAGAACGAGTTCGCAGACTTCCTGTCCACACACGGCTTCAGTATCGACTGGCAGCTCCTTCTTCTATGCGCAACCAAAACGGATTTCTTCTGCAGGCGAGCGCCTACTCCTGGCCGATAATCCCTCCCTGAAGTGTCCAAGCTCTGCCCTGCGCCTCCGCCCTCGCCCTCGCCCTCGACGATCTATATCACGTGCTCCAGGAACTCCAGTGCCTCGAGCCACAGTCCCTTCACCTGGCTGACGATCCCAGAAGTGTCGAAGTCGTCTTCCGCCGTCATGCCCAGCCCGATGAGGATCAAGGCTCCCAGCAGCACTGCGACGACTGTGGCTATGGTCAGTCCTTGGAAGAATTTCCACTTCCGGGTGGCGCGTAGCTTCTGGCGAAAGGCCCGGCAGTGTGTTCTTTGCAAGACGCCGCGCGTCCTGGGATCCTCCTCGAGGCGGCCGACCTCGTTTGCCGGCCAGGAGCGTCCTTTCTTTGGCATGGCTTTCGGAGTGAGAAACTTTTCAAAATTTAAGACTATTTAGGAAATATTTGTGCGGAACTGGCTATGACTGAACTATGACTGAAATACGAATAGATATTTCTGGACGTACAGCCTGCTTTTGTGGAAAACTTTGCATTTATAAAAGTTGAAGGGTTTTTCCAAGGACTACTAGGGGCTCGGGTGAGGGTCGGCTGGCGCCAGGCGGAGACCGGGCGGAAGCCTAGAGTCGGCCTGTAGGAGGTGCTTCCTGTAGGCCATCAGTCAGTCGGTCAGTCAATCCATCCATCAGTCGCATCACTCATCTGAACAGCTTCCTGAATCGAAAACTGTACTACTTCCCGTCCCGTCTTTCGGGCCCAAAACCAATCACAAAAGGGCATTTAGCTGGACAAACTTCCGAGCAGCAGAGAACGGTTCAGGGAACTGCTCCAATTCTGACCAAATATTGGGGAATCTTAAATCTTAAATATGCTTTGGCATCTCTGGCCTTTCCACGCAATCAAAATCAAAAGCAAAAGCAAAAAGCAAAAAGCAATGATTACAACAAAAGTAGATGAAAGTCAAGTCCCGGTCATGGCCGTGTAATACATTCGGAGGCTGTGACGGAACTGGGACGAGCTTTAGACGGCCACTGAACTGTCATAAATAAAACGAATTTATCCTGCCGCCTGCCCGGGCAATCTGTGACTTATAATCAGCGCTGTCGATGGGCCCAATCAAGTGCCGAGTGACGAGATTGGATGCCTGGATGCCTGGATGCCCGGATGGTGTACGGTGTACGGTGTACGCCTTCGCCTTGAGCCTGCGGGAAGGAGGAGAGTTCACTGGAGAGTGAACAGCGGGCATGGCATTGATGCTTCCTTGCTGTGCCCTCCCCTCTGAAAATATTGATACCTTGTTATCCTGGCTGTTGTGCTGTGACTCGAGAGCGAGTTTCACCTGGCAGGAAAATCGTTAAAAATATAATCTAATGGCCCACATTTTCGTTTGCTGGCCTAAAACATGAAATCAGTGTCGGGTGGTGCCCAGATTCGCATGTAAATTGATCGATTATGGGGGGGGCGGAGGAGTAGTGGGAGTGGGAGTGGGTGTGGGCTGCTGCACCATCTGGCCGTCGGATGAGTCAGTCGATCTGTGCCCCACATGTTTTCACTCAGGGCGCAATCACTTCTATGTCGCGCATCGACTGGGGTGGCTCTGGCTCTGGCTCTGGCTCTGCCTTTGCCCCATCTTCAGCTGCCTCTGCCTCAGCCTCTGCTGCTGCTTCTAAATTCGAGTGTATGCTGAACATGTGCGAGGCCATTGGAGGATGCCCTTTTAATGATGCATTTCGACTTAAATTTAGTGGCAAAACATTGTTGAACGCATTAAGCAATTATGCTGCAGCCCCGACACAGAGATAAATGGGAAAATGGTAAAAGACGCCCGCTCAGCACCCGAATCGAGTTTTGAGTTTCGAGTTTTCTCGAGAGCACAATATTCATTCCTCCCCCCCCCACCACAAATTTGATGCTCATCTGTTCTGGTGGGATTCTGGGGCTCTGGCAAGGGGAGTCGTAGCGCTCCATGTTGCATGGTGTGCGTTGCATTGTTGCAGGCACTTATCTGCACCACTAAAATGGGTCATTGTTCCCCCGGAACCCGCTCAATGGACTTGTTCCCAGGCAAAGCCCCACTAATGGATCGTGTGCACATACCGTTCCTATCGATGGACTACTGTCAAGTGGATATTGCCCTGCTACGAGCACTGTGAAGTGAGGCATCAATGAGATCATCAGGAGAACAGACATGCAGACAGATTGGATGCGTTTTGATGGCAAATTCTTCCACCTGAACGTTAACCCCTCCCCAACCCCTCCCCTTGTATGTGTGTGTATGTATATTATTCTACTGAATGCGTTTCTATGATTAACTTTCGTTGATGAAATATTTTCGTTTCGGCTGTCGGCACTTGTACAATGCCTTCGCTCTCTCGTGGGGCTTCTGTTCGTCGCCGGGAATGGAATCCACTCCGTTCCATTTACCAATTTTGGTATGTCGTGGCTGTCGCTTCGCTTGCTTTTGGGGGGCCTCAAGGCTCAAGGCTCAAGCCTCAAACCATCCATGGCACGAATCCATCACGAATCCATCGAGTCCATGAATATTTGCCTTAATTCGAGAAATACGTTATCCTTGGGTGTCCTCACACTTTATTAAACGAAATGTGCACAACTATTAGAAAATTTTCGAAGGGGTATTAAATATTTAATTGAGATCAATCAGTGCCATAAGTTCAGAGAGCTCCACACTGTCCACTTGCTTGAAATGCTCCAGCTTATTGTAAATCAAGGACAACCGTTCGGGATTCTCGGAGAGCATTATCACGCACTTCAGAGTCTAAGAGATGGATTTAAGTTGATTATTTATGCTTGTACCTGTATCTGTATCTGTATCTGTAAGTACACTTACCTTAAGCACTGCATCGCTGACAGTTTGATTTTCAATGTTTTCTCGAAGGAAAGGTTGGTTGGTCTCTTCGTTTTGTTCTACTCCCAAATGGTTCAGGAATTTTTTGACTGACATCGTTTTTCCGATGAACTCATCAAGATGGATTTGCTCCTTTAGTACCATGAACTGTGCCCCCTTGATAAGGTGCTCCCCAAAAAAGGGGATGTACATTTTCGGATCATTCGAAAATTTGAGAGCAAGTAAAAAATGGTAGCTAAGCTGACCATTGCCGGGCCCAGTGACATCAATTGAATAAAGGTCTATGTCCCCCTTTTCCGATTCAGCACTGAGAGTGAAGACCTTGCCACTCTGGCAAGTGACCTCACCAATGCCGCCAACAGCTCTTTTCAGGTCGGTGTCAAACAAAGATCTCAACCTCTCTGGCACTAGATATGCATTTTTAACAGCTGGATGGCGTAGATTCCGGCGAGCCCTCAGCTTATAAAGGGCTGAGGCTGTGTTTTCCCACAGTTTATTCGGATAAATCGGGAATGGCATTGTCACCTGAATCCATGTCTGATACTTCTTCTTTTGAATATCTATGGGATATACATATTACAAAGCATATATGTATATAAAGGATATAAAGCATAAATGCATGTGCTTTTTTTCTCTATTATACTTACTGGTTTCCTTCAAATGGGACAGTGTCCCCTTGAAAATGGAGTTTGTATCGTGGAAGGCTTGATATATCTTCTGGGTAATTTCTTCCTCCTCCTTCAACCAAGACTCCTCTAAATTGGGTATTTTGTCTAATAGCTTATCAAACGCCTCCGTGAATTTGATCGACATTTCGACAATTTTCTCTCTTCCGCTTTTCTTTTTTTTCAATAAGGAATGTCTGCGGCGTCAGCTGACACTTTAGGGATGGGATGTATGTCAGTTGTTCAACAATAGTATCGGAAGGTGTATCGCAAGTGAAGCTGAAACAATATCATATAATCGATTGCCATTCCGATTGCACCTATTACAAAATTCTCGTATACAAAGAATCCTCCCACTCGATTGGGATTCGATTCAGTTTAAGCTCAAGAGCCCCCTTTCCATTTCCTTCTCACCCCCTTTTCATTTGAGATATACCGAATCGCGAGACATGCGCTTCGTTCACACCAAAATTATATATAATTCTCCTCTCTGCCTATCGCGAAAGGATTAACCTGTCATTCCATGTAAATTGAGATAATGCGAAATTGTTTACTAAAATACTCATACCACCCAGTCGCCTATCCACCTTCGATAGTGTACCCATCCATTGTCTCACACTCCATTCACTCCGAGCATTGCCCCGAGCAATCGAATAATCGAGCGTTAAAATAAATGTATTCAAATTGGAACACAATTAATGTTCATAATTAAGACTTGAAAATCGGTATTTCGTTTATTTATGATGCGATTGCAGCCCTGGGCGTGTAAGTGTGGTTATCCAACACTGAATTTTTAGCACTCCCACTCTCCATCCCTAGATTTCGACGTCACTTGACGGAAGCTCACCAATACCAACGCAACGAAACGAAAAAAACCAAATTGGTAAAAATCAAGTGAAAATTATCATAGAAAAACTATATTCTCCCCTTGCTCGGTTCATAATGGCGAGTGGCGTCCCTCGCGATTACTTTTGCGAGTGAAATCTTCGACCAGCAAAGGGGCATCAACAATCAAGACGTAGTCACGCTCGGTTGCGCCTCTGGGCAGCCTCCTGGGGATCTGCGGTGGGCAGCTACCGGGAGAGCATGGCCTGGGACCAAACCGGGATCGATGACGACGAAGCCAGGCCCCGGGAGGGAAGGGAAGCCAACGAACGATGCTGTTTGGGGAATACAGCCGAAATTCTTGGCGATCTGAGGCCAGGCGATGGTGTGACCAGGCTGGACTGCTCTGACAGACCCGGGGAGAGGATCTCACATGTTCTCGCACAGCGGGTCCAGCGTGCAAAGACAGTGCCTGGCACAAACAGCTATGTAAGCAACTAGGTGCTAGGTGCGTCATCAAGTCAGGCAATGTTTTGTACTTCTCCCGGAAGCTGATGGCACCCTTGGCGCACTGTTTCTGGATCAAAGAGTCACCTTGACACGCTTGGAAAATGGCTTGGCCGAGTATAAAAGTAGATATATAAAGATGTAAAGCTCTTTGACAGTGTACATTTTAACACAGATGATCCTGCCGTGATCAGATCCCATGGATAAGATGAATTCGGACTTATGTGAAGGTATGCCCAGCCAGAGCCAAAGCATGCATGTAGGTCAGGATACAATCGTGGAGCTAGCCACCGAATATGAGGCTGCACCGAAGCAGGTGGGTCCTAAAATCAGAGATTATCCAAAAGAGTGTCTAAAATAACATTTGTGTTTCTTCTCTTTCAGGTCTCCAAAGAGGATGTGCCGTTTTCCATGCGTTCTTTGTTCCAGAAACAGCTCGTCAATGCTGTCAATGAAACATCGATACCCTCCCGTCCACTGCCAAAGGATGAGACGTACGCCAAGGGTGTACCGGGAGCTGCGCTAAACATTAACTACCTACCTGTCCTTGCTCGCTGGACCCGCCCTGTGAGAACTGTGAGATCCTATTCATAGGTCTGTGAGATCAGTCCAGCCTGGTCACACTATCGACTGGCCTCAGTCGATTATCGCTAATAATTTCGGCTGAATTCGCCAAACAGCATCGTTCGTTGGCTTCCCTTCCCTCCCGGGGGGGCGCCTCCGAACGGGGCTACGTCTTGATTGTTGATGCCCCTTTGCCCACACCAATGGATGGGTGTGCGTAATCACGAGGGACGCCAGTTGCCATTGTGTGTATAGTTGGTGGTACATACTATAGTGTAGTATAGTTTTTCACTTGATTTTTACCAATTCACCAATAAAAATATTCATAATTGGTAGTAATTGGCTGGCAGCTTGGTCTTGGCTTCCTTTGCGACGTCTTCCTGGGACGTCTTGGATTGGACTTCGGTTAAGCTTCGTCCTTGGGCCTGGGCTCGTCTTGTCCTCACGTACGCACCTCCTGTTTGTGGATTCTGTGGGCCAAAGAAGTGAAACATAGCTCTAGCATCTTACCTCCTCGAACCAGGACTTCTGGAAAGGAGTGAGTGAGTGAATGACCTCGGAGCCATTCTTGACGAGCTCCTGAGGATTCCAACTATAGTTGGCGCAGGCAATGCGGAACTTCCTCAAGAATTTGAAGGCTTTGTTGGTGTCGAAATATCAGATCGTCAAAAAGGAACAAATCGTTTTGCAGAGGCCGCCCGTCGCAGCGCCCGACGACACCTCCTGACTCATTTTCTGTCTCTCTCGCACGCCCTCGTCGTCGTTCAATGCTAGGGCCGTCTGCCGGAGGAGAGCCATACTGACTAAGTATCGGGTATAAATGTGCGGTCGCAGCAGCAGTTCACAACGTTCCCCCTCGCTTTCGGGAGGGGGTCTAGACGGGGGGGTCTCCCAGAAACTGGAATTTTTGCACCATTCGGAAGCATTTGATGGCTGGCCTACTTTCGTGGGCCTGTAAGAGGCCCGATATTCCGCTCATCATGCATCATGAATCATATGGAAAATAGATCACACTATTTGCAAGCTCCATTTCTAAAAATCTGATCCATGAAGAAGTCTATCACTGATTCCTGCTCTAGCTGTGCGGCTGATCCTGGTCATGCCGATATCCCACGATGTTCGGAGCAGGACGAGGTACCGAAGAGAAACCTGACCTCCTGACCTTCTGACCTGCCTGGGCATCGTAGAACTCTTATGTTACTCCTCCGATTAGGCCTCTTTATTTTTATACCCGATACTCAAAATGAGTATTGGGGTATATTAGATTTGTGGTAAAAGTGGATGTGTGTAACGTCCAGAAGGAATCGTTTCCGACCCCATAAAGTATATATATTCTTGATCAGCATCAATAGCCGAGTCGATTGAGCCATGTCTGTCTGTCCGTCTGTCCGTCTGTCCGTCTGTCCGTCCGTCCGTCTGTCCGTCTGTCCGTCTGTCCGTCTGTCCGTCCCCTTCAGCGCCTAATGCTCAAAGACTATAAGAGCTAGAGCAACGATGTTTTGGATCCAGACTTCTGTGATATGTCACTGCTCCAAAAATATTTCAAAACTTTGCCCCGCCCACTTCCGCCCCCACAAAGGGCGAAAATCTGTGGCATCCACAATTTCGACGATACGAGAAAACTAAAAACGCAGAATCGTAGAAGATGACTATATCTTACAGAGTGCAAAATCTGAACCAGATCGTATAATTATTACAGCCAGAATCACGAAAACAATTTCACTCTTTCTCGCTCTGTCTCACTCTAACACACAGGTTTCATGGTCGGTTTTGCCAATTGCAAAATATGAGTTCAAGGATCTCAGAACCTATAAAAGCCAGAGCAACCAAATTTGGTATCCACACTCCTGTGATATCGGACCTTGACCGTTTCCTGTCCAAATTTCGCCACACCCCCTTCCGCCCCCGCAAAGGACGAAAATCTGAGGCAACCACAAATCTCAGAGACTATTAAGGATAAAATAACCAAATTTGGTACACACACTCCTTTAAGATGTCACTATAAAACGTATATCTCAGAATTTCGCCCCACCCCCATCCGCCCCCACAAAGGACGAAAATCTGTTGCATCCACAATATTGCAGATTCGAGAAAACTAAAAACGCAGAATCATAGATAATGACCATATCTATTAGATTGCTGAATCTGGATCAGATCAGATCATTTTTATAGCCAAAAGGAACAAATCAATTTGCAGTGGCTACGCAGCGCCCGACGTCACGCTCAGACTGATTTTCTGTCTCTCTCGCACGCACTCTTTGTCGTGTCGTTTAATATTAGCGTCTGCCGGAGGAGAGCCATACTGACTTAGTATCGGGTATAACTGTAGAGTTGCGGTGTCCGCAGCAACTCACAACGTTCCCCCTCGTTTTTGATGCACACTTACATACCCTGTGGTGTCGACCGCAGAGACTGGACTGGCGAAACTGGTTCTTCGGCTTCTTCGGGTTCTTCGGCTTCGGGCACTACCGGAGTTACACGCCACATACACGGGCCTCCGTGGTGCGGTGCGGTGCCCCTCCAAGAGGAGGGACCCTTGGTCCGTTGCGTTGTTTACGTTTAGCGTGGATTCCTCCATTCCAAGCTGTTTGTTTTGGTTCCGAAAGGTCGGGTTGGGCTGGGCTAGAAAAAAAAAACCACAAAAACAAAAAACTGGATGCTCTCGTTTGTTCTTGGGCTCAAGATTTTCGGCTTTGTGTTTGGTTTCTGCTCCCTCCCCGCTCTTCCACCCAGCCGCTTACTCTATGCAGAAAAGGGTCTTCATCTCTCTATGGCTTATATTTTCAAGTTGTATTTATTTGTGTTTTTGTTTTTTAACCCATTTATGGTCTGTGCGGGGTACTCAAGGGGGTATCTTGGATTCGGGAGTCGCGGAAGGCCTCTTAGAGCTCGCTCAATCATTGAATCACACCAACGAAAGTGTCCAGTGTCCACCTTGCCACCTCTGTTGCTCCGTATATCCACATACTAGATCACATTTCAGGAGAAAACCCCCAATGTTCCCGCCCCAAGGGCTGGCTGCTTCCTCCCACGGTCCCAGACGAGCGGGCGGGCCTCCACTCCTCCGGACTAACCGCCGTCGCGGGAGCTGCAAAACAGAAATAATAAACGCCAGCAAGTGTCGTAAAAACAAATTAACAGCGTACAGGCAAACACTTGCCACTGCCACTGCCACTGCCACTGGCACTGGCACTGCAACTGCCGACAACAGCAGCAGCCCCTACTTTTAAAATGAGTAAACATTATTTTAATTTATAGCATAGCATGGCGCGCCCCACAGCTCTAATCCGCGGAACAGCATCGGCCATCCACTCGACTCCCCACCGACAGGCCGTGTTATACCCGATACTCAAAATGAATATTGGGGTATATTAGACCGACCCCATAAAGTATATATATTCTTGATCAGCATCAATAGCCGTGTCGTTTAATATTAGCACCGTCGGGTATAACTGTAGAGTTGCGGTGTCCGCAGCAACTCACAACGTTCCCCCTCGTTTTTGATTAGAATAATGTACATACGCACACATACAAGGGGAGGGGTTGGGGAGTTGTTAACGTTCAGGTGGAAGAATTTGCCATCAAAACGCATCCAATCTGTCTGCATGTCTGTTCTCCTGATGATCTCATTGATGCCTCACTTCACAGTGCTCGTAGCAGGGCAATATCCACTTGACAGTAGTCCATCGATAGGAACGGTATGTGCACACGATCCATTAGTGGGGCTTTGCCTGGGAACAAGTCCATTGAGCGGGTTCCGGGGGAACAATGACCCATTTTAGTGGTGCAGATAAGTGCCTGCAACAATGCAACGTACACCATGCAACATGGAGCGCTACGACTCCCCTATTTTCCTTATGATTCATGATGCATGATGAGCGGAATATCGGGCCTCTTACAGGCCGACGAAAGTAGGCACCGAATGGTGCAAAAATTCCAGTTTCTGGGAGACCCCCCCGTCTAGACCCCCTCCCGAAAGCGAGGGGGAACGTTGTGAACTGCTGCTGCGACCGCACATTTATACCCGATACTTAGTCAGTATGGCTCTCCTCCGGCAGACGGCCCTAGCATTGAACGACGACGAGGGCGTGCGAGAGAGACAGAAAATGAGTCAGGAGGTGTCGTCGGGCGCTGCGACGGGCGGCCTCTGCAAAACGATTTGTTCCTTTTTGACGATCTGATATTTCGACACCAACAAAGCCTTCAAATTCTTGAGGAAGTTCCGCATTGCCTGCGCCAACTATAGTTGGAATCCTCAGGAGCTCGTCAAGAATGGCTCCGAGGTCATTCACTCACTCACTCCTTTCCAGAAGTCCTGGTTCGAGGAGGTAAGATGCTAGAGCTATGTTTCACTTCTTTGGCCCACAGAATCCACAAACAGGAGGTGCGTACGTGAGGACAAGACGAGCCCAGGCCCAAGGACGAAGCTTAACCGAAGTCCAATCCAAGACGTCCCAGGAAGACGTCGCAAAGGAAGCCAAGACCAAGCTGCCAGCCAATTACTACCAATTATGAATATTTTTATTGGTGAATTGGTAAAAATCAAGTGAAAAACTATACTACACTATAGTATGTACCACCAACTATACACACAATGGCAACTGGCGTCCCTCGTGATTACGCACACCCATCCATTGGTGTGGGCAAAGGGGCATCAACAATCAAGACGTAGCCCCGTTCGGAGGCGCCCCCCCGGGAGGGAAGGGAAGCCAACGAACGATGCTGTTTGGCGAATTCAGCCGAAATTATTAGCGATAATCGACTGAGGCCAGTCGATAGTGTGACCAGGCTGGACTGATCTCACAGACCTATGAATAGGATCTCACAGTTCTCACAGGGCGGGTCCAGCGAGCAAGGACAGGTAGGTAGTTAATGTTTAGCGCAGCTCCCGGTACACCCTTGGCGTACGTCTCATCCTTTGGCAGTGGACGGGAGGGTATCGATGTTTCATTGACAGCATTGACGAGCTGTTTCTGGAACAAAGAACGCATGGAAAACGGCACATCCTCTTTGGAGACCTGAAAGAGAAGAAACACAAATGTTATTTTAGACACTCTTTTGGATAATCTCTGATTTTAGGACCCACCTGCTTCGGTGCAGCCTCATATTCGGTGGCTAGCTCCACGATTGTATCCTGACCTACATGCATGCTTTGGCTCTGGCTGGGCATACCTTCACATAAGTCCGAATTCATCTTATCCATGGGATCTGATCACGGCAGGATCATCTGTGTTAAAATGTACACTGTCAAAGAGCTTTACATCTTTATATATCTACTTTTATACTCGGCCAAGCCATTTTCCAAGCGTGTCAAGGTGACTCTTTGATCCAGAAACAGTGCGCCAAGGGTGCCATCAGCTTCCGGGAGAAGTACAAAACATTGCCTGACTTGATGACGCACCTAGCACCTAGTTGCTTACATAGCTGTTTGTGCCAGGCACTGTCTTTGCACGCTGGACCCGCTGTGCGAGAACATGTGAGATCCTCTCCCCGGGTCTGTCAGAGCAGTCCAGCCTGGTCACACCATCGCCTGGCCTCAGATCGCCAAGAATTTCGGCTGTATTCCCCAAACAGCATCGTTCGTTGGCTTCCCTTCCCTCCCGGGGCCTGGCTTCGTCGTCATCGATCCCGGTTTGGTCCCAGGCCATGCTCTCCCGGTAGCTGCCCACCGCAGATCCCCAGGAGGCTGCCCAGAGGCGCAACCGAGCGTGACTACGTCTTGATTGTTGATGCCCCTTTGCTGGTCGAAGATTTCACTCGCAAAAGTAATCGCGAGGGACGCCACTCGCCATTATGAACCGAGCAAGGGGAGAATATAGTTTTTCTATGATAATTTTCACTTGATTTTTACCAATTTGGTTTTTTTCGTTTCGTTGCGTTGGTATTGGTGAGCTTCCGTCAAGTGACGTCGAAATCTAGGGATGGAGAGTGGGAGTGCTAAAAATTCAGTGTTGGATAACCACACTTACACGCCCAGGGCTGCAATCGCATCATAAATAAACGAAATACCGATTTTCAAGTCTTAATTATGAACATTAATTGTGTTCCAATTTGAATACATTTATTTTAACGCTCGATTATTCGATTGCTCGGGGCAATGCTCGGAGTGAATGGAGTGTGAGACAATGGATGGGTACACTATCGAAGGTGGATAGGCGACTGGGTGGTATGAGTATTTTAGTAAACAATTTCGCATTATCTCAATTTACATGGAATGACAGGTTAATCCTTTCGCGATAGGCAGAGAGGAGAATTATATATAATTTTGGTGTGAACGAAGCGCATGTCTCGCGATTCGGTATATCTCAAATGAAAAGGGGGTGAGAAGGAAATGGAAAGGGGGCTCTTGAGCTTAAACTGAATCGAATCCCAATCGAGTGGGAGGATTCTTTGTATACGAGAATTTTGTAATAGGTGCAATCGGAATGGCAATCGATTATATGATATTGTTTCAGCTTCACTTGCGATACACCTTCCGATACTATTGTTGAACAACTGACATACATCCCATCCCTAAAGTGTCAGCTGACGCCGCAGACATTCCTTATTGAAAAAAAAGAAAAGCGGAAGAGAGAAAATTGTCGAAATGTCGATCAAATTCACGGAGGCGTTTGATAAGCTATTAGACAAAATACCCAATTTAGAGGAGTCTTGGTTGAAGGAGGAGGAAGAAATTACCCAGAAGATATATCAAGCCTTCCACGATACAAACTCCATTTTCAAGGGGACACTGTCCCATTTGAAGGAAACCAGTAAGTATAATAGAGAAAAAAAGCACATGCATTTATGCTTTATATCCTTTATATACATATATGCTTTGTAATATGTATATCCCATAGATATTCAAAAGAAGAAGTATCAGACATGGATTCAGGTGACAATGCCATTCCCGATTTATCCGAATAAACTGTGGGAAAACACAGCCTCAGCCCTTTATAAGCTGAGGGCTCGCCGGAATCTACGCCATCCAGCTGTTAAAAATGCATATCTAGTGCCAGAGAGGTTGAGATCTTTGTTTGACACCGACCTGAAAAGAGCTGTTGGCGGCATTGGTGAGGTCACTTGCCAGAGTGGCAAGGTCTTCACTCTCAGTGCTGAATCGGAAAAGGGGGACATAGACCTTTATTCAATTGATGTCACTGGGCCCGGCAATGGTCAGCTTAGCTACCATTTTTTACTTGCTCTCAAATTTTCGAATGATCCGAAAATGTACATCCCCTTTTTTGGGGAGCACCTTATCAAGGGGGCACAGTTCATGGTACTAAAGGAGCAAATCCATCTTGATGAGTTCATCGGAAAAACGATGTCAGTCAAAAAATTCCTGAACCATTTGGGAGTAGAACAAAACGAAGAGACCAACCAACCTTTCCTTCGAGAAAACATTGAAAATCAAACTGTCAGCGATGCAGTGCTTAAGGTAAGTGTACTTACAGATACAGATACAGATACAGGTACAAGCATAAATAATCAACTTAAATCCATCTCTTAGACTCTGAAGTGCGTGATAATGCTCTCCGAGAATCCCGAACGGTTGTCCTTGATTTACAATAAGCTGGAGCATTTCAAGCAAGTGGACAGTGTGGAGCTCTCTGAACTTATGGCACTGATTGATCTCAATTAAATATTTAATACCCCTTCGAAAATTTTCTAATAGTTGTGCACATTTCGTTTAATAAAGTGTGAGGACACCCAAGGATAACGTATTTCTCGAATTAAGGCAAATATTCATGGACTCGATGGATTCGTGATGGATTCGTGCCATGGATGGTTTGAGGCTTGAGGCTTGAGGCTTGAGCCTTGAGGCCCCCCAAAAGCAAGCGAAGCGACAGCCACGACATACCAAAATTGGTAAATGGAACGGAGTGGATTCCATTCCCGGCGACGAACAGAAGCCCCACGAGAGAGCGAAGGCATTGTACAAGTGCCGACAGCCGAGACGAAAATATTTCATCAACGAAAGTTAATCATAGAAACGCATTCAGTAGATTTTCGCCGGGAAGCCGAAGCCGACGCCGACGACGACGACGACGATGACGCCGACGCTGAAACAGAAGCGGAAGCCCCACAGTGTCATCGGGCTGAAAGAATGGGGTGGGGTTGGTCGGGGTGGGGTGTTGTAAGATGGGCGCTCTCTTACTTTGTCAGCTGTGTGTTTTTTAAACAATTGAACAGAACAGCTCACAACGCCGATTGGAAGGCGTCCGGGGTGCGTTAATTGAATTAATTGTGGCGAGTCGTCACTGGCCTGCTCTACCAACAGGGGGGGAGGCTCTACCGCCCAAGGGCGGTGGCATCTCTTGCAGGCATTGGCCAAGGAGATGGATGGTTCAATTAGGTGTCTTCGTGTCGCCGATCTGCTCGAATGTGCTCTATGAAATGCATTGCAATGACAGCTCCGATGTCGATGTCGATGTCGATGCCGCATAAATTAATCACAAACTAATTAAATGCGTTCAATTGAAGCTGAAGCTGAAGCCGCCGAGTATCCGTGTACACTGGCAATCGAGTTCTATCGAGTGGCCACAAATGCGCTTTCAAGTTTTGGGCCATTTCGATGCTGTGTCCAGGTCTAGGCTCTAGACTATAGAACGATGCCTCGGAGATCCTCCTGCCAGATGTGGTTCTGTTGATGCCTTTACCTAGTAGGTAGCTTTTGCTGCTCCTCCTCCTCCGCATACATTTGTTTGCCCAAAATGTTTGCCTGTTGGACTTTACACTCGTTATTTGTATGCTCTACTGAAGAACGGGAGTAGAGTGGAGTGGAGTGGAAATTTTCCATAAATGTTTCTCTTGCAAAAACCCCTTTCCGCCTTACCAACAATTATAACAGCTGACTCAGCAGCTGACTGACTGGCGATCCCAGACGATCCCAGACGAAACCAAAGCCCAACTTCAGCTCCAGCTCCAACTCCAGGCCCCTGGCTATGGCTATGGCTATGGCTCTGCCGAACCGAACCGAACCCATCCAAATGTCTCTGCCTCCATTCCCCCCAAGCCCCCCCTGGCCCTAGCCTACCCCAGCTGGGTAAAAGTCGCTTTTGAGGGCCAACAAACTCTTACCCTGGGCAGAGCTGTTGTTGTCGCTTGTGTCATGTCATGTCGAGAGTACCCGCATAATGACACACATATAGCCAGAGAGACAGAGGGAGAGGGAGAGGGAGAGGGGATGGATAATTACCGCTGAACCCAAGCGGACCGCAGCAGAGCTCAGAGCGATCTCCGCTTGACAGCTGACGCTGGTACCGAGAGCGTTGACTGATTTATGAAGACACTTTTGCAAGTCGCCCAACTTGATTTTTCACGAAACCGTTACACCGGCTCCCATAGTGTGGCACGGCCCGGCCGCCACCGGCGATTGGATGCCCTAACTATGGCCCCAGCCCGTTGCTGGGCCACGATACGAGTGGTGTGGATACTGTACGGAGAGAGCACATCACACCCACTTCTCCCCCGCTTCTCCGGCGGAAAGGGCATCTGCTGTTCGTTGTGGCACCTTTGGGGCGGTGGGGCGGAGGGGCGGAGGGGCTTCTGTGGCTCGGTTCGGTTCGGTTCGAGGTTCCCTCAATTTTGTCTATTACACGAATCCGAATTGAAGTGTCTTGTACTGTCTTTCGAGCTGGGCTGTGTTTGTTGCCAAGCGCCCAAATGACTGGCTGTCTGACTGGCCGACTGGCTGACTATCTGGCAGGCAGGCAGGCAGGCAGCAGGTTTGTCTTGTCTTTTCTTGTCTTGCCTTGGTCTGGCCCGGTCTGTCCGCTCGGCTGACTGGCTGGCTGGCTGGCTGGCTGGCTGCCTGGCTTGGCTTGGCTTGGTTTGGTAATCATGATCGCATGATCTTCCAGCTGCTTTTGCAGAGAGCTCTAGCTCTGGCTCTGGCCCAGTTGCTGGCTCCGGCTCTGGGTCTGGCACTGGCACTGGCTCTGGTTTGTGTGGCGGGGTTAATCGCCAGCGTAATGGTAATGGTCGTGTTTGTTGCGCCAAATCAGCTGATTGCTGATGCCTGATAATGATGAGTAAGCGCTTTCGATGCATGAACCCCACCATGCCTCTCCACACACTTTTCTGTATCTGGTGTATCTTCGTCTCCCCACCGACAGATTCGCTGTCTATCGGGGGGGGGTAGTCCTCCCGAACAGATCACAGATCAGTGTCCAGTGTGGGGAAGTGCATAGAACATGGAAGAATACCTCCCATTGTGGACCCAAATTCTGTCTATGGCGAAGACCTATCTGGGCATGCAATGCGGATAATTATTTCGGCATAAGCCGCACACAAGACGCATAAATAAGAGCACTGCACCCATTTATCAGAACAGAAGGCCCACCGCTTTGCCGTGGAGCCCGTTGTGTCTTTCTGTCGGGTTGTTGGCGGAGTCCCTCTCGGGGATTGGCTGCCCTGTGACACCATGTGCCAGAGATACAATGCAAAACGCACACGTTTTCGGCTTTGGATC